CCCCCCCACCTCTTTTGGAAGGGTAAAGTATGTACAATCTCTATCATAAAGTCTCCAGAGACTTAACCAATGGGCACTTAAAATCATTCCTTTTAGATCCTTGAGAAGAAATGTTGTTTAACAGTTACACAGACAGCCTGGGGGTGTAGTTCAATGTTACAGCACAGACTTAGCATATGGGAGGCCCTGGGTTCAATCTCCAACACCAAAAAAAGATAAAAAAAAGATTCATCCACACTGCTGGACAAAGACTGACTGGGACATTTGAAAGCTACAAAAACTTGTTATGCATACATATCTACTTTTTGTGAAATTTGTTATTTAAAAAACAACAATAGTTTGGTCTTATTTTTTAAAAGAAGCACTTTCACACCACGTAGTTTTTTGTTTTGTTTTGTTTTGTTTTTTTTGGCAAAAAGTATCTAACTGTGATCCAGAAATGTACAGATTTTGATTATTCAGGATTATAACATTTTAAGTCAAAACAAAAATTACATTTTTTATTCACTTAACAGTAGAATAGGCAGAATTATATCTTAAAGGGTTTTTTTTTACCTTTTCATTGTAACACAATATTTTCATTAGAGGTGAAAATTTCTGGTTAAAAAAAAAAAAACTTCACTTACAGATATTTGAGTTGAAGGGGTGGAAATGCGGTTTTAAGTTCTGAAATGTTATTGCTGCTCAGGTCCAAAGTTTCAAGGGACTGAAATTGTTTCAGATGTCCTGGTAATATCTCAGCAATCCTGTTTCCAGCCCTGAAATTAAAAGGCATCACAGATAACAGGTTTTATGTTACAATAAATAGAAAGGAGAAAAATATTTTTTATTCCTAACTTGATCTTCAGATATGTGAAAAATTAATCTAAATAGTATTTTAAAAAGTTAAATAGCAATACCATGCCTACTTTATTTATTGGAACATAAATGATGACATTAAAATATATTAAAAAAACACCCATACACAAATATGAGATATAATTTAGAAGTGGTTACCTAAACTCTATGTACTTAAAGCCAACTGACTGATTTTTAATGCTATTTTTTAGTAGTTCTTCTTTTTATTAAATGCTAAATGAAATGTCTCCGACCATGTAGGCAGACTGTGTACTAACACAATAATTCCCTATTTCTCTTCTTGATTCCTAACCTAATTCTTCTCCTGAAAAGTGCCCAAACCACAGGTGTCAACGAACTTCAAACATTCTTCAGATTGGGCTTTTTTAGAACCATGCTAGCAAGATCATGTTTTGTTTTAGCAAGAGCAATATTCAATGCATTGACAGAGGCTGCTGTATCAGGGGTGAAGCTCCAGGGCTTCCAATATTTTTTAAGTATGACACAAGAGCACACCAGCCTAAGTAATCCCTGGGCACAGCTAGGCTAAGACATGTAGACATTAAGTCATTAGCACATGTGGCTCTTTAAAATGTAAAATAATTGTTAGAAGTCTGTTCCGTAGTTATACCACCCCCATTTCAAGAGCTCAGCAGCCTCTTATATAGAGTACTTCCACCATCATGAACAGGTCTCCCGGTGAGTATTGCTGGACTTAAGACAAGAAAGGGGCCTGGAGCATCAAATAAAAAGAAGCCAAGTCAAAAGTCTTAAAAGATCTTCACATATATGTCTCAAGGGCAAATTCAGCATATAAGTGACGGTTTTGTTAGAAATCAGTAGTCAAAGTGCAATGTGCAAGCCATCTCAACTGTCATATTAGATTAAATAGCTTGGTCTTTTTAGACCATCGTTTGCAGAGGAAAATTATGCACCAAAGTAGAAAAGTGGGGGAAGGTATCAGATCCCACCTACAAATCATAGGAAAAAAAAATCATCTCTTTCTATAAGGAACAACCTGAATGTTATAAGGAGAACTCTATCATGTAAAAGTCACATGCTGGTGTTCTCTAGTATGCAGATGATTTGCACTTAATGAAAAACCTTAGAAAGCCTATCTCACATGTATCTCTCTTAGCCTGAAAGTATATTTCATATGTGCATCTCTCTTACCAACATCTGTATTTCTATAGTGCTTTAAGCTTATTAAGATCTTTTAATAGGTCTTAGGTCTTGATTGATAGAGCATGCACACAACTGGTGTTCTCCACAATACTGCGAGCTTCTTGGAAGCAGGTTGTGTCCACATCTGCTTTGGAATGTGTGTGGAGTCTGGTAATGCTGAGCACAGTTTAGGAGCTGAGCCCTACACTTTTTATGTATGATGCCATTTAATCATAGAACAATTTCTCTGGTATAAATATTATAGATAATTTTTAAATTAGGAAAATAGGGCTTTTCACACAACAAGTCTGAGCATATCTGAGCCACTTTACAAAGTGAGTCTGGATTGGTCCCAAACCAATCACTGAAGGCTTTTTCATAGAATACAGCCTATCAAAGATGTCTTGGCAATTACATCCTTACTGGAGATGTACTGCCAAAAGTTCTAGTACTTCTCACCTTGTAAAAATGCTGAATTTCTGGTCTCGACTGACGGGAGCCTACTCTGGCTTGTTGAACTGTCAAGCCCACACCTAAGAACTCCCTAGAATGGGGCCCTTCCCAAGCCATGCTTCCATCCCACATAGGTAAGAGAGGTTCGCCAGGAGTCTGCATGTGTTCAGCACTCACCGGAGTTAGAAGCTTCACTTCCTGAATGTGTGCGAAGGGAAGGTGCTATTTTCTCCACAAGAAAGAAGAGTAAGCAGAAGAAAATGGACTGCACAGCCCATATTTTAAAAACTAACAAAATTATTCAAGATAGTATTATAACTCACCGTATTATTTATAAGGACTATGGGGGATATCTTTTCTATTCTTTAAAACCCAAGACATCACACAATCTAACTCAATTTTTAAAAATAATCCTGTTCTAGGTAACAAGTATACACAGTGTATATCTTAAGAGCCGCATTTTGGGATAATTGCCAACAAATTTTTAAAAAGAATTAGCAGTCCTGTTTACAAGTCAGACATAAATAATCAAACTCATCACATTCTTGTGAAGTCTCAGAGGGTTTGTGTACAGCCAAGTCAGCCATGACCTCTGACTATGATCATTTCCCACATCTGGAATCACCAATGTGTAAATTTCTTGATCTAGCTGTGGGGTACAGGGTAATGCAAGTGAAACAATCAGTCAATTTCTAGGTCCCGGAGATGGATTCAGACCAAGAGACAAGCCACAGGCCTTAGGGTCGTGGTGTATGGATTAAACAAAACCACACTTAAGGGATCTGAAATTTTCTTGTAAATATATAACTCAATGTTTGTATTACTAGGATGTCCTCTCACAAATGAAAGTCACCTGAAGTGTCCAAGAACTCCCTTCCTCCAGTCCCTACCCCAACCCTAGCCACCCCTCCCTTCAAACTCTGTAGCAGGTTTTGGCCCTCAGGCTGTCTACGGCCTTACAGAGACACTCTTATATAGTATTTAACAACAACAGAAAGAAAATCCTCAGCTTTAGATTTTTGCAATAAATGGAGCAAATTACTTTTTCAGGAGAGAGAGAACCACAGGTGTCTGTCACGCTGGTCAAATAGGGCTACAAGTTAGATAACAGACCATACAATCTTCGGTTTATATATTCATTTGTTTATAAGGTAATTATGAACAAGGTATTAAAACTGCCAATTACTTGAGTGACGAATAAAATTTTCCTTGCAGTGAAAGTCTGCTCCAGCCAAAGCCAGCAATTTCCTGAAGTGCACACCACCTAAATTGCAGTGGGAAAGCGCTCAGTTATAGATGCAGCAGGCACAGTGCAGTCTTTGTCAGCTCTGCTGCCCGACACAAAAATCCCTTACAACTGCCAGGATAATAGCTCCTGTATCGCAAAAATTTAAATTTATCCTCAAGGAACTGAATTAAATCCAAATGTCAGCTTCTTATTAGCTCTTAGCCTAACTGGCAATAACCACCTGATACATACCAGTTTAAAACAGAAACAAACAAACAAAAAAACCCAACTTGCTTTATATCATGGCTTTTTAAAAAAGGGGGCAACTACATTTAAAAAATCCCTTTTAGCACCTGAAACTCTCAAACTAAATGTATTTTGGAGAATGGATCACAAATAGCCACTTCTAGAGGACAAAGATTCAATTCAGCCCAGTTTAAATTTTTTCTCCTAATATAGGTAATTGCCAAAACTGATGAAAACATTAAAAGGCATTGCAGTTTATATTTTGGCAAGAAACATGAAAATACTTAATAAAACAAATCTGTGTGAATACCTATTTCCATTGCTTATTGGAAGTGCCATATTTCTATTGTTCAAAAATTACAGTATGGTTGTGGACTTATTAAAAGTCCTCATGCAAATCCATTTTAGAGACTGAATATTTTGTCTGTGTTGATGGTACAGGGAGTTCCATGGTCAAATCATTGCTGAGGTGAAATATAATTGGTCCCTTGAGGACCAGCAGACCTGAAGGCATGGGTAGTGGGGAGCACACACTGTTCCCTCAGGCTTTCAAGAGGCCACAGGAAAAACAGAAGTCCTACTCATTTCAGCCTTGGCTTCCCAAAATGAATCAGGATTCATTTTGTTACCAGTTTCATCTTTCAGCTAACTTTACCAAAATGCTTTAAAGTACAAAGACTCACATGGTTTACCATTTTCTTTCAATGATAAATCTAACTGGTGAGAAATCTAACCATGAATAAGATGGTGATGCCCTTGCCCTCAAAGAGCCTGAGGTCTTGGGAATGGGGGGAGCCAACCAATAGGGGAGGTCAACAGTGTAGTAAGTAATGTGAGAAGCCAGGAGAGAGAGCAGAGGAGGTTGAAAGGGCAGATTCATGTTTGGGGGGCAAAGCACTGACAAGGGAGAGGGACGATCAGTGTTGTGCAAGGGGAAACAAATGCAGGAGAGGGGTGCAAGTTTTCTCCCCTTTGAGTCAATGAAAGAATACTGCCTCGGTGGCTGGAGTGCAGAATGCATGAGTAGGGATTAGAGAAACATGAAACTCAAGTGTAAAGTGGCCAAGAAGAGATTAGGTCAGACAGAGACTTGAAGCCAGGTTGGCCATTTGTTTTGTATCTCAAGATCTACTGGGTGGAGGGGCCAGTGGACTTCACATGGTGGATGCCAATATAACATGTGCATTGTACAATGGCTGCTCTGGATTCAGGCAATAGAAAGATGGGGTAAAAGGTGGACAAGAACAGGCACAAGAGCATGGTTAAGAGGCTTCTAATCTGGTGCAGAGGACAGAAGTTGGCTTGGTGTCCAGATGGTGATGACCAGTCTAGACACCAGCTGAAGGGGTGGACAACCCTTCTTCCTGTAGTTTCCAGAGCACAGGACAAGCTTTCTCTTTCCCTATTCACAGGCCTAGGTTTCTAGTTCTACAGCTTCTGGCGTTGGGACCCAGGTCAGCTCTACCGGAGTTCCCACTCACTTTCTTCCTTATCTCTCTGCTTCGTGCTTGGGATATGGGAGGTCTTCTAAGGCATGGAGTACAGTCTAGGACCCCTTCTTACTCAAGAATGAGATGCTACTACCCAGAAGAGTCCAATACAGGCATTTTACTGTTTCCCTCAATCACTAGGGAAATGGATGTTATTCTCAAATACTAGAAATGTGCTTATATGTTCTGATACAGTGCACATGCTCCAAAGATCAAACTGGCCTAAATTATTAACAATAAAATATAATCGATAAGGTTACTGATATGATCACTTGGTGCGATGGTGATACTTTCTGATTTACTGTGATCTACGTAAAGCCTAAGTGTCTCAAAAGCACTC